TTGCATACTGTTTGATGGTTTGAGGAGTCTTCTTGGTGAAAGTTTTGTAGTAGAGTGGTGGAAGCAAAAAGAAGAGTCGATTGCCGTTCTGACCCAGTTTCGCCAAATCATCCGCCGCCCCGCCCTTGATGTCATGCGTTTTTCCCACAGTCATCTGGAATCCACCGAACTGCGGCATCCACGCATCAATAGCAGTATAGTTCGATGTCCCATCCACGTATATGTTGACCGACTTCCACACGCTCCGCTACTTGCCGAGGCTGCGATGACCGTGGAATATCGATTGTACCATCAGCTGGAGTGCGTTTCCTCTTTCCAGAAAACAGCTCTCGATACACGAAAGTCCCACCCTGCTCCAGCCGATCCATAGAATAAAACTCAAAGATGTATCCACACAGTGATTGTGCTAGCGGGTTTCCATCTGACGAACCGAGAAGGCTTTGCAGCTTCGCGCGGTCAAATCGCCACTTTGTTCGAACAATCAACTGCATCGCCAAATCTGATGCATAGACGACTTTGTATTCTCGATACGGTTCTTGGCTGAGAATGTGAATCAAAGTCTGAACGATCGTGGTCTTCGAGTTGACCTCAGAGTATATAGACACCAACACAATGCAATCATCGAGAGAACAATTGCTGCATGCGGACATCAGCAAAGCTTGTGGGTCAGTTTCAATGTCTTGCAACACCAGGCGAGGTACACCACCCAAGCAATCAAATCAATTCTCCCACACAGCTGCTGCATGTGGATACATGGGAGCAATTGTCGCCAGTTCTTCTTTCGACCACAGTGGCATGTAGAAAACATCGGCAGTAGGAGGCTGCTTCTTGAACTCACCGATGCAGTCTCGTCGCGGTGTGCTTGCGAGAAGAACTGAGCATAGCCGGTAGGGAAGCCCAGGGATACTTGTTGGGTCCATCGAATCAACAAGGCACCACAGATCAGGCGACCAAAACTGTTCATTAAACTTGCTTGGCAACGCCAGACAGATCAGCATCGTCGATCCATCGAAGTAAAAGAGCCCATTGTTGTCGAAAAGCAGCACGCGCTTCTTCTCCTTGATCAATCTCCACAGGACATAGTAGACGAACACCGACTTTCCAACCCCAGGCGTGCCCGTGACGACAGCATACTTGACCATGCCCACATTTGGATTGAACAGCGCATGGTTAGCGATCACTTGGTACGAAGAGCGAATGTAGAGCTTCTGACGTCTCGTTAGCGGCAGCAACGACGAAAACTCGAGCCAATCACCAACTTTGTCAACTGTCCGGAATTGTAAGAAGAATGGATTAATGCAGTGGTCGAATACACCGTCTTGAGAGACTGTTGGAACCGAAAACCCTTGCCCCGGAACCACCACCAGCACGTGGATCGTCCTCTTCGTCGAAGCATCACCAAACAAGTCACCAATCTCGTCTGCTGGATCCATTTCCACGTCCAGCAGTGCCTTTACTTTCTCGGGAATAACACCACTCCGCATAGCAATCACGGCAGGATCCTTCGACTTCAGCCAGGCGCCGTCTTTCTTTGCCAGGAAGAGCTGAAGGTCCTTGGCGTCGCCCGTGAAAGTCATTGCATTCTCCGCCTTGATCGCCTTCTTCAAGTCTCCCACCAGCTGGCTCGCGTCGATGTCCACAGGGAAAGCGCTTCCAGCCACACCAACGATCGCACAAACAAGCTTGACCATCTTTTCTCGAGACGGCGAGTTCTGGAATGAGGAAGAAGGAGGGAGAATTTCTGGCGTACTTAAGCGGAAAAGAAAGCGCGTGACAATGATTTTCAACCAATGATGAGACGCCACGTCGCGCTGGTCCGAACTAATTCTCAAGGTTGCGTCCAGCTGCCTCGAAAGAACGTTCCAGGACTGGTCTCGCAGGTAAATTACGGAAAGTAAAAAAACTGCCAGCGTAATGTTCCATGTCGTACTACTAGTGTAACGGGGTACGTAGCACTAAGTGTACCCTGGTTACATGAAGTGTGACACTTCACACTTCAGGAGTATGACATGTCATACTCCGGGATATTTGGTACAAGGTACCAAGGTCATTCAAAACCAACCATTGGTTAAATGACATTGCATTACTATACTGTAGGTAGCTGATAGTTTGTATTAACCTGGATGGACAATAAACCGGTTCGTTTCCTCGCGACGGGGTGCTCCACGAAGCTGACACACGTGAGTCGACGTGAGCCGAGTGGTACTGTGTCTATGGTGCCGTGCCCTCAATTGGTGAAGGACTATCACGAAGCCATGGGGCGGGGGTTGATTGTCCACGATCATC